CTTCCCAAATTTAGTCTAATTCCTTCTGAATTTCTCGCAGTAAGTGGGAACCATGAGGAAAAAGTACATTCTTGCTTATTGTCACCTATTTTTTTCCTTAGGAAAAATAATAATGATGGTGCCAGGAACCACTTCAGGGTGCCTGTCGGGTGCTGAGCACTTTACCGACGACCTCTTGACTCTGATCCTTGCAGCGACCCCGCCCAGGACTGCAGCCACGGCCACAGCGCGGGGAAAGCTGCTGGAGCTCAGAAGGCGAGGTGACGGTCGGAGTTCCACAGGTAGCCTGGTCCTGCCAAGGAGGGAGCTGGGGGATCCATTCGCTCTGTTAGACTCCCAAACGCCTGCTGATACCCCGGCTCCAGGCGCTGGACTTCTGGCAGAAACAGGGAATTCTTGGTTCCTCTATGTTCTGCGTAACGTTGTTCTCTCCTTGAATGCTCCTCACTGGAGTGCAGTGAGAACAAACTCCACGGGCAGCCACGGCGACGCGAGTCTGAGGAGTGGGGCGGCTGGCACTTGCTTGATTTGTGGTTCAGCAAACAATTTCCTTACACAGACCCTCCGGGAGGGTTGATGGTATTAAGCCTATTGTTTTTTAGGGCGGTAATACTAAACTATCCCTCGGTGAGTTAACAAAGAACGCTGACACCAAATATTGCTCTCCATCCACTGCAAATGCCACACCAGGTTTTGCGGTTGTCTAGAGTACATTAGTCATTAGTTCTACAGAAAAACATTACACCTGATTCCAGAAATGATAACTGCATTTAGAGTGGTGAAATAGGTAACGTTTTATGAATTATTTAGATATCTTTTTTCTTACAACCAACGAAAACTCCAAATACGTGGCTTTGGAGAAGAGTTGTCTCCCGTGATTGCAGATGTGCTTCTCTCCGTGGGGGCCGTACTTGTAACGCGAGCTGTTTCCGTCCCCTGGGCCTGGGGCTGGTCGGGTGGGAGGAGGGAGTGGCTGGGAGCAAACGCACAGCTCAGAATTGGTGGTGCGTTATGCCCGCAGACCTGTCCGCAAATGCAGGCCCTTCCACAGACTCGCTGACTCACACTTCTGAGGAGTGCAGCCCCAGGCACACGCATTTTTACAAATCTCACGGTGACTCTGCCACGCATCCCCGGGAGGAACCTCTGGGTGGGAGCACCCTTTCCCGGGTGGCAGGCTGAGCAGCAAAGACGAAACAGTGTCCTGCAAACGCTGGCTTCCGCCGCAGACCGTTCTGCTCCCCTCCCCGTCCTCACTCCAGGGGAAATGAAAATAAAGGAATTGTACAATGAAATCAACAGCACTAGGTGTTCAAAGGTGGACGACCTGGATCTTCTTATTCTCAGAGAAACACACCTTCATTGTGTGTGTGTGTGAGCCCCTGATACGGGAGGGGTGTGACCGCCACCTGCATGCTGGGGGAGTGTTTTGGAGAAGAATACCAGTTTCTACTAACAAAGCCCAACAAAGAAACCAAAATACTTTCTTTTCATCCCGTTATAGGATGAGCAGATGGAAACACGGGGAATTTTGGGGTGCGTCTGCTTGGTTTTACATTTGGAGAAACTGAGTCCGAAGCGGGAAAGCGACTCCTCCTGCCGCTCAGCGTCTCCCTGCAGCACAAACGGGGCAGTTCAGCGGCCGGCCTAGGACCGCAACCCAAGCTCTCTGTTCGTTTTGGAACCGAGCCTTCCTGAAATTAGGAAGAATGCAGAAACAGCTGTTCAGCCATGTCCCGCAACGAGGCTCCATTCCTCGATAAAGAGCTAATGGTCTAGCCAAGAGGTGTTCAGAAAGAAAAAGGGGAAGAGACAGAGATTGGCCTGAAACATATTCTTTAGAAAAGCTGCCCATCTTCACAAAGGGCGACGTAACCAAAGCGACCTTTACATTTGCTTTCCTGTCATCAATGTGAATTGTTACGTGAGGGCAGATGTTTACGAGCAGACTTAGCTGCAGCTTCGTTGCATGTTGTTTTGCTGGAGGGATACTCAGAGGGACGTTCATCCAATCTCACTTTCTGTCCCTTCCTCAGCCTCTAACACACGCCCCCCGAAACAAAAACCTTGGGGAGAACTAGGATAAGAGTAAAGATCTGATTTCAAACAATCCATATTATATATCACTAATGTCTTGTTGGATGTTATGGGCTGGATTATATGCCCCTCCCTCCAACTTTATATTATAAAGTCCTGGCCCACCGTATCTCGGAATTTGACTGTATTTGCAAATAGGGTCTTAAAAGGTTATTTTAGTTAAAACAAGGTCATTAGGGTGGTCCCTAACCCATTATGAAAGGTGTCCTTACACAAAGAGGAAAGTAAGACCGACACACAGAGAGAAGACCATGTGAAAACTTAGAGAGAAGATGCACACCTACAAGCCAAGGAGAGAGGCCTTAGAAGAAACACACCTTGCCAACACCTTGATCTCCCACTGTCAGGCCTCAGAGGTCTGGGAAAACAAATTCCTGTTGTTTTAGCCACCCAGTGTTACCACCCAGTGGTGCTTTATTGTGGCAACCCTAGAAAACAAACACACAGGACCACTGTATGGGACTGTTTGCTTCTGTGGGCAAATAACAAAAAGCCCAAACCCAGCTCCAGTGACTGAAGTAACAAGCACGATGCATTCAGCTAAAACAACAGAAATGTCAAGAGGTAGTGTGGGCTGCAAGTCCAGTTTGATCTGGGTGTGACCTCCTCTGCCTCTTCTTGTTTATCAGGCGTGTGGTTGGCTTGGCTCCCCTGCAGGGCGGAAAGGCGGCATCCATGGTTACACATGCTTCTTCACCCCATCCAAGGAGAAAGAATGGCATCAGGTAACCATTGAAACAAGCCCAGGCTTCCTCTCACTGAACCACTCATTGTTACACTAACAATAATAATGACAAATGTTCATTGAGCACTAAATATGTGCCAGATACTCTTCTAAGTGCTTTTGCTGAATTAGCTCTTTTAATCCTCATGAAAAGACAATGAAACTACTCTGATTTGTTAGCTCAATTAAGGACGACCCCTGAAATGGAGGGGTGGTGATCCCCATCCCCCCCCATGTAAAACATAAGGTCACTCATTAGACGGTGTGCACAATAGATGTTAGAAAAACAACTACAGTATGAAGTACAGTCACATCAATGCAAAATTACAACTGCACCATGCTTCAGGTTTCCTTAATGAACTAGGTTAATACAGACAAAAAGCTACATGCATTCTGCTTTCGCTGTCCACAGAAATTAAATTATCATTTTCCTAAATGTCCTTTTGAATGTCACATTACTGTTTTTTCCTTGCAGGTACAGGTGCCAGCAGAAACCGAGCTGGGAAACTTGAAAGTTATTGGAAATTGGTTCCCAAACATGTGCCAGCAGAAACTGAGCTGGGAAACTTGGAAGTTATTGGAAATTGGTTGCCAAATATGTGACCATCTTCCTCCTGCAAGTTATAGTGGCCTCTTGGGTCAAACTCTGGGTCTCTCTGATTCTGCTGCTGTTCTGACAATGTTGGCGAGGTGTGGAAATGCCTAGGCTTGTTCTGGCTCATGCGGAGTTACTTTGTTGCAGTTGATTCACAAAGAGAAAGCAGCAATCAGAGACAGACATTTGGTGCCACCTGAGATCGTCTCACTCCTGTTCCCCGCCCCTCACCCCCCACCACACCCCCTACACGGGTACATGCCAGGGAGTTCCGTGTAAGGATGAAACACATTGATCTGATAGTTTCCGTTTCCCAAACTTGAATTCGATTAGAATTTTATCATGAATCACAAAAAAATGGAAGTGCCGCATTTTGATCTATGGCATTTCTAGTATCCAGTATTAATCTTATAGGGCTTCATTGGCTTGAAATAAATAATGGACTACTTACTACCTAAACGCTAAAAATTTAAATGCCACCTTGGTACAAATTAGCACCAATTTCTTTGGAGAACAATTTACAATGTTTTATCATAAGTTACAAAACATTTGTGTCTTTTACATAGCAATCCCACTCCTGGGGTTTGTTTAAAAGTGGAAGGGAAAAAAGCATTATGCTCAACTGTGTTCACTAAAGACTGTCTTAGAAGAGCACAAATGGAAACAATATACATTCCAACTGTATGTACTGCTAAAACAATTATAGTAAAGAACTCCTCGAGGGAAATATTATGTAACTGTTAGCAGTTCCCTTTGTTTGGAACACTTTTCCTCCCCCTCGGCCTTACTTTCCTGCCAGCTAACTCCCACTTAGCCTTCAAGACTCAGGGTACCCACCCCTGCTCCTGGCTGTCCCACCTCCACCGTGCTTATGTAACCCTCGGGCGCTCCTCTATTCAAGGGTTGGTAGCCCATTGCGTTGTAACCCATTGATTTTGCTTGTCAGTCTCCCCCATTGGACCGCAACTCACTAAGGCACAGCCTGTCCTGTGTGCAACAAGTTAAAAAGCAGAAGAGGAGGGACAAGCTATAAAAAATGTTCCTGATCCATAAAACTCAGGCTTCAGTTGATTCGGAGCTGCCTTCAGCTCCCCCCACCCTCCCCGCCCCATCAACACCACTAGCATCTCTGGAATCTCTTTTGGAAGGTGAGAAATCTGCTTAAAATCCTATTAGGGGGAGTGTCTCAGTGGGGGGAGTGGGGGGAAGGAGATTAGAAATGGAGCCTGTGCAATATCCCTGTAAAGCTCCAGGAGCCATTAACATTCTTTTTCATTTCCTTTTACAAGTTTCCATGAATGTCTGAGTTACACCACATACAAATGGGACTGCAAACGATCGGTGTGGTTCGGTTTACACTGAAACGGGACGCGCGCTGCCTTCTTTCAGGCGGCACTGCTTCAAACAGCAGGAAAGTGGACTCAGCCCGGTGCCAGCGCCAGGGATTTGAGGTCCCTTCCTCGCCCATTCATTTCCAGGCACACTCCTGGAGGATCACCCGCACAGCGCTCCCTTTCGCCCGCCCGACTTTGGAGCGGAGCGGTCCGTAGGGAGGAGAACCGACGAATCCTCACGGGCACCAGGCGCTCGCGGACCAGGCCCGCCCCCACCCGTGCCCGGCCCCATCACGTTGGCTGCAGAGCGCATCCCGACTGCGCCCTGGCGAGGAGGCGCCGGGGTAGCTAAGGGGAGCGGGTCACGTGAGAGGAGGAGTCTGACCTACTTTGGAAGGCGCATGCGTACTTCCCCTCTGAGCGCCGGCGGAGAAGCTCACATGGAATCGCACGTGCTGGGTCCTAGGGCCTGGGCTCTGGCGGGGCGTGCTCTAGTCCCTGCCAGATGGAAAGGTGAGTTCAGTGCTGCGAGTCGGCCTGCGAGCTCAGCGAGTTAGGGGACCAGAGGATGCAGCTGCCTCCTTCAGCCTGACCGAGCCTTCGCTTTGCGGGTCCTGCAATCGTCGTGCCAATAACCCTCAGCTTTGAGAGCTGCTTTGGCGCTCCACGGGGCTTCCCACGAATTCACCGAAATTATCATTCATGAACTCAAAAATTAAGACAAAGTTACTCTGCATATGCCCTTTGAATCAGCAATTCCACGATTTGGAATTTTTTTCTACAGATGGGCTCCCGCTTGTGTGAAATGTCGCCTTAGAAGGGCAGTCATTACATCACTGACTTGCTGAAGATGGGAAACTCTCTAAATGTCCAACAAACAATAAGTCTGGTCAAGTACACAGAAACATAAGTGATGATTGCGCTGTATTTGGAATTCTTTGCAGTTACGAAATGGACAGACAGCTCCATAGACCCCGACATGAAGAGACCACTAAATTCACTGTGACATAAATAAATGAATAAATAAATAAAATGGAGCAGGATAGTGTGTGTGGGGTGCTAACTCTTATGTGGTAGATATATTTGTAACTATACACAAAAATAAATATATAATTATGTTTGTAAATGTATCTATACAAAATATACACATGTGTATTTGTAAATGTATCTAGACAAAATACAAATATATATATGTATATTTGTGAATGTATAGAATAGTTCTACAAAAATGCACCAAGAGCATACCAGAAGCTATATTGGATGCCTGAGAGGGCAGAGGAAGGAAAAAGTCTGACTCTTGCACACTTTTATAACTTAAATTTTGTACTCTATATGATTAATTTACAAAAACAAAAAGTTAAAAACAAAGAGTTATTTAGCACTTACTCTGTGCTGAACACCAGGTTTTATGAAAATCATTTCCCTCTGAAAACTCTGTCATGTATGATACCTACCACATTTCTTATTCTGTGCAGCTTGTATTTCAAAACTGCAAGTTTTCTGATAAACTCTGTTAAGAAAAGTTTTTAGATAACAAGTCCTCTACATCTTTAAGATCCTGTCAGAATTCTATCTTGCAAAAGGAAGGACCCTCAGTAACCCATGTGCATTCTAAAGCCTACAAAGAAAGTTTGCATCTGCAGTGGAGCTCTGCTCTCCCGATTACTCTGGATTTGTAATGCGGCTATAATTGCCATTCAGTGTGCCAGGTATGTTTGGTTGCAGTTAACAGAAACTGCAACTCTGAGTGGCTTGGACAGAAAGTTCATTTAGTTGAACCAGGACGGGACAGACTTCAGGGATAGTTTGATGCAGCATTTAAACAATGTCACCAGCACCTGGTGGCTTTTCATCCCTCTGCCATGCTTCCCACTGTACCAGCTTCATCTGAAGCTTTGGGCGGGTCTCACTTCATGAAAATGCTTCTTTCCCAGAAGCAGCGAGCAAACATCTTCCCCGAACTCACTGGTCTGATTCGGGGCAACTGCCCACACCACAGCAGGAGAAGGGATCATGCCAATTCATTTGGGGAGTCCGTTAGCCCCTGTGCTTTGAGGGGAGCCAGAGAAAACAAACAAATGGGAATGGATGCTGAGGCAATTGTGCCCCTTGCTGGGAAATGCCCTGCCTGGTTTCAGGAGCTGTAACCCCCCATGACTAAGGCTGAGTGAGTGACCTTGGGACCATAAGCCACTGAGGAGACAAAGCTTATCTCCCTGGCAGGGGCACTGCCTCTGACCACTTTACTTCACCCTGCCTGGCCCCAGTGCTTAGTCGGTTAGCCAATGACGGGTAAGATTCCTCAGGGGAGGAACGACCTAAGACAGGCCGGTAGGATCATGTGGGAGGCTCCCAAGGAAGGACTTGGGGGGCTACAGCAAAAGGGGGTGATGGACCCTCGCTCCTCGTCTTTGACAAAGCCTGAGTCCTCATTCTGTCTGCCAGAAGTCTCCTAATCTCTTGGCTGCCTTGCTTCCCCTGCCTGACTTAAGCCTGAAACAACGGTGGTGCAGCCCTGTGCTGGAAAGGGTGGGTTCCCCTGGAAATCAGGCCTAAGAAAGAATATGTAAAATCCTGTGAAACCTGCTTTGTTTAGAATGCTCTCAATTGAATGATAAGGGTCCAGGCAAGAAGCGAGTTTGTTCTTCAAAGTTTTATAGGTCTTTAGCTAACAGACCCTGACTCAGAATAGGCCCTCAGAGTTCTTTGTTATCTATTGTTTGATCCTTACTGCCTGACAATGATTAATGAGCTTTACCTGTATTCTGGTGCAAACGAATCCAAGAAAAGCTCATTGAGGAAAAGGTTCTTGGCCCTTCTGCTTTGAGAGATCGGCCACCTTTCCTCCCCAAGCAGATCAGTTCTTGGTAGACTTATTTTCATTCGTGGTGGCCAGGGCTGGGGGAGGCCCTGTGGGTCGAGTCCCCCCACAACCCCTCATATCGCTTCTATTTCCTACTGTTTGCTAATATTAATATATTGCTATTATTTTTCCCCTTTCCAGGTGTGGATTAGGTGACAGATCTCAGCTTGACCCAAACTATGCTGCCAGGGTGTTTGCATTTTTCCCTGCACTATATGCTCTCTCAGTGAGGGGGTAAGAACATCACCACATCAGGGAAAAAATCTACCTCCACCACTAGAAAACCAGCTGGAGCTGTGGTGAGAGATCAAGGGGGGCAAAACCTCCCTTGGCATGAACCCTGTGAAGGAAGTGTACATATACCATATTTATGTGCTATTTCTTCATTCACCCATGGTATAAGTATTAGACTCCTACTGTATGTGGAAGCATGAAGGCTCTTGGAGAAAAATGGAAGACATTCATGATGAAGACTCTGAAGTCAAAGGAAATAAAGTCAAATTAGGCCACATTTCCAAGACAGACACTTGGAAAATACCAAAATGATGCTATGAAACAGGATGCAATAGAGAGCCTGGGTTATGGGGGTGGAGGGCGACTCACCCCTGAAGACCCAGCTCAAGTGTTGCACCCTGCGTGAAGGTCACGCCTCTTGATGTCCTGCCTCCTACTCACTGCCAGCTGTGATGGAGAGAGCCACGCACTCACTGTGTCTCTGCAGCCCCCAACAAACTTACACTTGCTCATTGCCCTTAGTTGTTCACAAGCTTGCCTCCCTCTCGTCCCCAGATAGGCTGGGATTTCCTGGAAAGCAAAACTTTCATTGATTTTTTTTTTGTTTATTTTCTTCATAGACACAACAACTAACACATCCCTGTCTTAATGCATGTTTGTTCAATTATCAAATGAATAAACAGATTATATATTCATGTAAATTCTCATACCTAGTTAATAATTTTTAAAGTGTAGAGTATGATTTGAGCTGAAGGAAAAAGTGATGGGTAAGAAAGACTTACAGCTCTAGCTGGTGTGGCTCAGTAGACTGAGTGCTAGCCTGCAAAGGGTCGCTGGTTTGATTACCAGTCAGGGCACATGCTTGGGTTGTGGGCCAGATCCCCAGTAGGGGGCATGCGACAGGCAACCACACATTGATGTTTCCTTCCATCTCTTTCTCCCTCCCTCCCCCTCTCTTTAAAAATAAATAAATAAATAAATACTTTTAAATAAAACAAATAGAAAGATAAAAACAGACAATTATGAGTAGAAGTCAAAACCCAACATCTATTGTTGACAACTATTAAGACTTCCTTGATATTTCTGAGTCATAGAGTCTCAAATAGACACTTTAAGGTTTCTAGTTTGGGCCTGTCCAGCCCACATGACAATGACATTGACAGACTCTTCCTGAACTGTTTCCCTTGCAAGACTCCAAGAGTGAGTGCCTCCTGAAATTTTGTACCCTACCAGCTTCATCTGTCTCCCTCTAGTCCTGCTCATGCTCTTGAGTGTACACTTTGATCTTGAACTGATAGTTGTTGAATTTGACAGTGTGCTGGAGATCGTTCCCCTTATGGTGTGAACACGCCAACACCGGGTATGCTTTGTGTGCGTGTGTACCATGATGACACAGTATGCCATGAACATGATGCATGCATGGATTTGGTATCATTCTTGACTCCTCCCTCTCCTTCCCATATAACAAACGGTGGTGAGACATCTTTCATCCTGCATCCCAGGGAAGGATGGTAGGAGGAGGTCCAGGGCAGCACAGGAAGACCATAGCAGGTGCTGTGAGGTGACCATAATTGGGTGGCTGACCTGTAAGCCCATGTGAAAGACTCTTGGGTACTCGCTGATATAACTAGAAATGATGAGCAGAGGAGAGGGAGCCAGTGCAATTTAAATAATTACTGTGTATCTATAACCGTAGAGGATATAAACCTGGGGAACCTGGTCTTTTACATTTCCAACATCACCTCTCCCTCTTCTTCAACACAACTCCTCCTCACCCCTGCCAATAAGTCTGGTCTCTATTCTTCAGAATACTAGACTCATTTCTACCTCCACTCCTTTGCTCATATCGTACCCAACCACCTACACAGCCCTTCCCTTCTCCCATATTCATCTGACTTTGAGCAATCCTCCAAGGCCCTCTCCTCTTCTTTATCTTTTCCAACCCATCCCCACCCCTGTGGCCCCTGTGCTGTGAAGATCTGTCGTGCTGCATCCACTTTGGCTCTTAATTGCATGCTGTCTTGCATCATTTTAGTGTTTTCCAAGTGTCTGTCTTGTCTGCCTAACTTAACCAGATTCCCTTTGAGTTCAGGATCTTGGTTATGGATGTCTTCCATTTTTCTCTAAGAGCCTTTGTTCTTACATATATAATGCATAGGGAACAATAAGTTTTAGAGGTGGGTTGGGGCTGGAACACAGTGTCACACTCAGGTGGGCAGAGGGAAGCTCAAGAAGGCAGGTGATGCCAAGGTCCTAAGTGTGGGCTCTGGTGTCAGAAAGCCCTTGGCTCTGATGGACAGCAGTGTAATTTCTCTGTGCCTCCATCCATCCTTTGTCAACTTGAGTGGATAATATTCCTCACTTCATAGGATTCCTTTGAGGATGGACAACCAAATGCATGTAGAGGTAGAGTAGTTACCTTGGTGCTTGGCACATAATAAGCTCTCAGATGTTAGCTATTATTATTTCATAATTTTGGTGTGCAGTTTCTAAAACATTTTCCCAAATCAGTGGCAATTTCTCAAAAATATTTGGTAGGTCATTCCCTTTGAGGGCTGTAAAAATAGCTATAGTCTTTGTTCAGGCTGCTATATAACAAAATATTGGCTAGCTTATAATCAACAGAAATTTATTGCTCATAGTTTTGGACACTGGGAAGTCCAAGATCAAGGTGACAACATGGTGGCCTTTTGGTGAGGGCACCCATCCAACATAGTAACAGCCCAGCATGTCCTTAGCATGGTGGGAGGGGACTAGGGTGCTTTGCGGAGTCTTTTTTGTAAGAACACTAATCCCATTCATGAGAATTCCACCCTCATCACCTCAGCACCTCCCAAAGGTCCATCTCCTAATAGCATCATCTTTGTGGAGAGGATTTCAACATATGAATTTTAGGGGGACACAAACATTATGACTAGAGCAAGCAAGGTGTGCGGACATAAAAACACTTAGGGATACACAGGCATGACTGATTTCTCTCTCTCTGACACACACACACACACACACACACACACACACACACACACACTCCTCTTCCATTTCTAAGTGTCCCTCGGAGAGAATTCTACAAACAATATATCATAGCAAGCACTCCTGCCTGTGTTCCTCC